GAAGAGTGAGGAGGTGTCTTCTGTCATATGCTGAGAGAAGCTACACGGAATGCTAACGCTAACGTGACGGAGCGAGCTGCTTCTCTTTCAGGTGTATTCTGGCGTGCGTGAAGGTGTGTGTGTGTGTGTGTGTGTGTGTCTCACCGAGTCTGCCTCCAGTTCAAAGTTCTCCCCGTTCCCGTCCCACCTCTGCAGGACTTTCTCCCGATGATCCCCGTTCAGCCGCGACGAGCTGATGGACGTGTCGGTGAACGCGTCTGACACGCACACACGTATTATTACTATTATATATATATATATATATATATATATATTATATATATACGTACACATTTCATTTTCTATGAAGAATTTACCCCCCTCTGCACTTAAGTTCTAATAAAAGAAGCTTCCTCTTGTCAGGCGTTAATTCACAAATTTGAATTCAAGTGAAAATTCCACACGGCGATAACCTTATTTGTAAAGATATAACAACAATATGATGAACGCATTGGTCTTGTCACCTTTGACGGCGAAGTTGAGGTCGACGTCGCGACAGGTCATCGTCACCAGGTCGGTGGGGCTGAAGATCATGGTGTCGGTTATGTCTTCAATCTTAGGTGGAGGGGACTGGCTGCTTCCTCCACCTTCCTCCCCTCCTCCTCCGTCCCCATCGCTCTGCTTGTGGACGGCATCCACGGCCAGCTCGCACTGACGGGGGAGAAGAGGAGCTGGATGAACGATGTGTGGAAGCAAACAGTGTAACAAGCGGGTCTCTATTTTTACCTGAGAGCTTAAAGTCTTGAAGATTCCTTGGTACGCGGCGCCGTTCTTCACCCTCACGTCGCAGGTGGAGCCCTGTGACCAGAAGAGAGATGATGTCATCATTCAGGTTTATAGTCCCTGATATTTGATCATGTGACATTGTAACCAAATCAGTGTTTAGATCAACAGGAGGAGGAGCTAGTAGTGTTAGCAGCGCCGCTAAAAGCTAACCAACGGAGGTTCTCTTAGGTTAGTGTGATGCATTCAGGCTCCTCTCAATGAAAATGGAAACATTATAATATCTGTGACGTGTTAATGTGTCATCTGTAAAATGTTGATATGGAGAGAAACCTCAATAAATCCAGATGTTCCTACATGAATAGAAAACAGTAGGGCTGTCAAAGTTAGCAAGTTAATCTGGTATTATTGTGGCCGAGATGAATGCGATAAAAACACAGTTAACGCAACTTTGTTTCCTTCTGTTGTGCGTTGACCCCTGAACCCTGAAGCAGTCAGTCAGATGCAGAGAAAAACAAACAGAAGAACTGAGCAGAGGAATTCCTCCACGTGTCAAACAGAAGGGGGACGAGTGCAACGGACCACTTTGGACTGATAGGCTAAGCTAGCTGCTAGGCTAAGCTAGCTGCCAGGCTAAGCTAGCTGTCAGGCTACTTCCATCTCAAGAGAGACCAGAGGACCAACACTGTGTCCCTAAACGCAAGTGGTGTGGAAACGCTGGATGTGGGGAAAGTGTTGTAACGCGTCAAATGATGGAGAGTTGAGAGCAAAGTGAACGAGAACAACAAGAAGAGTCGTAGTTCAACATGTTCTACCTCCGACCGGATCACATGGGGGGAGTTGTGTTTAAAATATAATTAAACAATAGTGTCTAAAATACACGCTTTCTAAAGAGATCACTTGTTAATTTCTATGGTTTAGACTTTAGAGGAAAAACAAACTTTTAATTGCGAGTATTCTAGATTAATGAATTTCAAAATGTGATATTAGTTTTGTTTTATTATCTATTGACAGCCCTCCAAAATAGATATTATAGATGAGTTATGATCGGTTTAACTTCATAACAAGCTTTAACCACAATATTATTCATCATTATAAATAACCACAATAAAGGGAAACATGTTGTATTCCCCTCATTCAAATTGTGTGTTTTCATGAGCATCACCACGATAGGTGACTTTAACAAAGTACAAGGATCTAGTAGAAATATCCTGGTTTGTAAGACCACATGATTGTTCTTGTGATCTTCTCGACTCACCACGACTGCTGTGAGGAAGTGAAGCATTCTGGCATTGTTGTAGACGCCTTCAAACACCTGCAGGAACCGGTGGAACGTGAGCATGTTGTTCAGTGGAACAATACAAGCGTTTTAAGGCTGATATTTAACATTAAAATCATAATTAATAACAATTTTCAAAGGATTCTTCACGTTGGATAAAAACAGTTTATGAACATTTTCTGTCAAGAAACTGACGAGAAACTCACCGATTAAAATGATTGATTTGTGATGATAGAAACAAGTCAATAATTAACTTATAAAACATTATTTTTGTACATGCAAGAATAATATGTGAATAATTATATTTATTAATTATCCATATATCTTCTTTTTGTCTCACAAAATAATATAAAATAACAAACATTTTAGAAACAACTAGCAGTATCCATTAAAATAATGTTTGTCTTCCAAAACGAGGATCAGAGTTCGGACGTCCTTGAAGATGAGGCTTGTTGTAAATGGGAGAACATCGGGGAACCGATGAGGAACCGATGAGGAACCGATGAGGAACCGGCCCGATCAGATTGGGCCGGTTCCTCATCGGATGTTTACAACAGCTTTATTGCCCCAGTGAACCACACTGTACTTACTATGCTGCTTAAAGGGGATGTCTGCGACGGAGGTTTCATTGTGTTCCTGGTCCTTAAGAGGGAGGAGAGAAACGAACGTTAGCTAACAGCTAATAACAGCTAACAGAAAAATGCGGGTCCTCAGAAGGAGAACAATAAACACAAGCCTTGCTAGCTAGCTAGCATGGCAGCTAGTTAACCCATGACATGACGGGATTCGGTAACATTTATATCCGCGGTTATATCCAAACTAATGCCCAGGGGGCAACGTAAACGGCAACGTTGTTGTTGATGTTGTTTGGAGTGAGGTTAAAATAAGATAGCTAATCGTGCTAAGACAGCTAGCTTAGCACAGATGTCGAATTATAGCCACACAGCTGGAAGCCAACCGACAGAAACGACGTCGGCGTCACGTTATAAACTGACAGCCCTTTTGGTATTTAGATTTTACTTTTTAGTCATGTGCATCCCGGTTGCTCCTGTCCCGTCGTTCCAGCGAAAAGTCCCACGGTCTGACAGGCCGATCGCGACACACCGCTGGAAAAACAACAAAACACGGCAGCGGCTGCGTTCGATTTGTTCAGCCCCTTGCGCCAGCTGAGCGCGTGATTCGGGTCAGGTGAAGAGGAGCGAGCCACTGCCGGGCGATATAAACAACAAGGATGTTCTAGTTAGACTAAAAATACTTTATTGAGTTTAAAATTGCCATTTAATATTCTGCCAGTACTCAGTACGAGCGAATGCTCCCGCACGAAAACAGAAAGTCAAAATCAGCCGGGATCCGCCGGTGACTGAAACGAACGCATCACTCGTGAATCCCGCCTACTAAACTAATCTGAAACCTGATAGGAGGAAACTTTCTATCAACACAGATTGAACTTTTGTTTCATTGGTTTAGAATTCATGTCAATAACTTTCTTCGGCTGGTGGACTCTCTTCCCAGAGTTCATGTCAGGAAACTGATGCAAGAGAATTTGTCGTTTGGTTTTAGGGAATACAATACAAATAAAACATTTAAAAAGTAATGAATTCCGTTGTTTAGATATGTTTCATCACCGTAACAAGTAGAACAAATATTTTAAAGGGTATTTTTTAACTTGATTCCCTTGTGTATGTGTACAATATATACAAATACTAGCGTATTGAGCAGATGCAATTTTACACCTAAAAAATCGGCATAAAATACAAATTCTTGGCCTACTAACTTCTTGAGATTTCAAGCATTGAATCACAATCAACAATAAAGTTAGCAGACCAAATCTCAAATTGAGAATTATAAATAATCTTGCAGATTTACTGAATTTGGGGTATATTTGTTTTTACCTAAACGTTTACCAGCTTACCAGATCTTTTTTTTCTTTCTCCAATATGTATTCAACTGTAGTTGGTTTACAAGAGAAGCTTATCATTTCCAAAAACCTTTAAATTATAGATCAAACAACATACAAATCTTTTGAGCAGTATTTTTGTTCCCTTTCTTTTAAGTTTCCAGTTAATGAAGTACCATGCATACTTGCTTTTGATCTACTGCTCTTATCTCTCCCCCCAAAGCTGTAAAATTAGGGGAAACACTGCTAATACTATTTTAAGGATAAGACAGTATCAAACTATTATGTTAAAAACATTGGCGTCTCAATTATTGTCGTTACAGTAATGATTGTAACTAATTAATATCCTTTACCAGATCTATCAGAGAAGAAGAAAGACCACACAACATTTATGTTTCACTATATTTATATTATATCATTAAATTCAATATAGTACCTGAAACTAACCACACGAGGGCGGACGCACAACAATGCCCCCCCCGGACCCCCGACCCCCCAACAAAGAAATAGTCGTAGCAAAGAGAGAAAAGAGACAGAGAAAGGCACAAAGAGTTCTGACACAAGGATACTGAACAAAATGATGTGTGTGTGTGTGTGTGTGTGTGTGTGTGTGTGTGGGGGGGGGGGGGGGGGGCATATAGACAAATACATGAGCAAAGAAAAGAGCGGTAGAACGGGGGGGGGCTCTGAACTGAGTGATGAGACGATGGTGACGACGCAGAAAAGGCACAAGTAGAAAAAGCAGTTCTTCTTCTTTCCTTTCCCCTCGTGGTCAGAGGGCGACGAGGGGCGGGACCAGCGTGGGAGAGAGCGAGGGCAACGGTCGCCGTGGCAACTGAGCATCATGGCAAATCTTATATCGATTTTTTTCCTTCTTATCCCAAAGTGAAAAAAAGAGGCACAAATACATCGATTACAAAATGGAGTCGGAACCAGTTTCACGTGGAGGAAGCATACGCGCAAATAAAAAACCAAATAAAATCACTATTATCCTGACTGGTCGTTGGTGTTATTTCCATCAACAATTATTGTTATTGGTATCACTCATTTCTCTGTAGTGTGTGTGGGGGGGGGGGGGGGGGGGGGGGGGGGGGGCAGACGCCATTAAGAAACGGTGGATTTAACGCCGCTTTGTGTCCTCTGAGGATCTTATGAAGATAATAAGGACGTGTACACATATTTGGATTCGAGTACCTCTTTATAGTGTTTATTTGACCTGTTTTCTTTCAGTACGAATGGTGCGTTTGTACTTATGCTGAGGATCAATAAAGGTTCATCTTACGTACCCTTGAAATGCTTTTAGGTCTCAAGATATCAAATATACAATAAGGTAAAACAAAGAAAAGAACATGTTAGAATTGTGCCACGTACATTATCAGTATGATCTCCTAAACGGATTCTGCTGTCGTGTCGTTCTGGGTTTTCCGGTCACAGAACTACGGAAGCCCGGAGAGTACAAATAGAAGTGTTCTCGCCTGCGTTTGTGACTTAAGAACAGATGGAAATCTTTCACCAGGATCAATTTCAGGGTGATTTAGTTTCTGCCTTTTTGCTTTGCATTGTTGTTGTAACACTCATTTCAGCCACAGGAGGCAGAACGTGTTATTTTAAACCAATATAGAAGAAAACAGTCTAGTTTAGTGTTTTTTAGAACAAGAGGTGTGGAGTTTTATAGCTGATCAGTGAGATCAATATGCGGACAGGAGGTAATAAATAACGCCTTTCTTCTGATCCCCAATGTCACTTATCGAACAACATTTTATTGGTTACTCAGCTAAGTTCGCTACATTAGCTCTTATTTGTACCTAATGTTGTATTTTGTTTTTATTTCAGTTCCTTCTTTTAACAATAAAATGGCAGAAAATTGAGAAAGAAAAAACGTATGCAAAAAATATTTTAAAATATCAAATTTACTGTGAAAAAAAATGTAGAAAAGCAGAAAACACATTTTTAAAGCACAAACCAGCAAATGTCTGACAATAAAAAATAGCATGTTGTAAAACTTTAAATTAAGAAACACTGTAAAGACAAGCTGTAAATATTCCAATCAGTGTGTAGCTCAGCAGCAGGAGAGCTAGCAGCATTAGCAGCACCGCTAGCGGCTAACGAACGAAGGTTCCCTTCAGTTACATTGCGATGCCTTCAGGCTCTGCTCAGGGAATAGGATTATACAAACCGTCGTAATGTTCAGGTATAATTTGTGTAGCGTTTTCACATGAATAGAAAATAGATATTAGAGTTGAATTATTCATTTCCTAACACGAGATCATTATTGTACACCATTAAATATAATAAGGACTACAAAAATGCAATGTTTAAGTTCCGTCATTTTCATTGTGTTTTTATTAAAATAACCGATGTAGTTTGTGTCCATTTTGACGGTTTAAAGTGACTTCAGAGCAGTTGAAATGATTTTGGTGAAAGATAATAACAGCAGTTTGGTTCTTCTGATGTTGTAAGCGAGACATTTTATTAGCAACTAAATCATTTTGTTTCTATTTTTACGTCACAAACACAAGGAAGAAATATATTTTTGTTTTGTATCTGGGCCTCCGTAGTTCTGTGGATAGAAGGTGGTTGAGCTATCGGGTCTGCAGGCTTCAACCCGCTCGAGCTCAACAACAAGCTCGCTGAGTCATCAAAAAAATAAAAAGCTTATCGGACTAAAAGAACACAAAGAAAAGTACCGCTAGTTAGTGTTGCTCTCTCTCTCGCGTCAGAAGAAGGAGTACTGGTTGTCGATGGCTCGTGGCGCCCTCGCTCCCTCCCGCTCTTCTCCCTCCACAGCTTCTAGTTGTTGGAGAGGCGTGTCCCTGTCTCTCTCCTCCCAGTCTTCTTCACCCCCTCCACTACTACTACCACCACCTGCTCCACCTCCTCCTCCACCTCCTGTCACCGTCACGGTCACCGACGTGGTTGCCTCTGTCGCGCCTCCCGCCGCCTCGTCCTCTTGCTCTTGGGGAGGCGTGGGGGGCGGTGGCCGGCACGGTGGCAGCGGGGGGGGCGGAGGCTGAGGGGGGCTACGGGGTCTGCTGGTCAAGTCTGCAGGGACCAGAAACATGAAGAAAGGGGGAAGCGGGGTGTAAATAAAGGAGGGCAAAGTGTAGTGAAGGAGTGAAGTGAGGAGAAGAGAGTGAGTCGACAGTTAGGTGGAATAAAGTCTGTGGCCATGGAGTCAGTGGTAGTCATGGAGACGGTCCACTTCAAGGACACACACACACACACACACACAAATGTCTCTCACTGAGTCCGGTCTCACTTACACACAGTCAGAGATGGGGGTTGATGGAGAGTCGGGATGGCGCGGGGTGATGACATCACAGACTGTGGGCCGACTGCCTGCCCTGTCCCGGCCTGCAAGGGACGAGCCAACGGATACGACAGAAAACAACAGAGGTCAGAGGTCAGCACAGCAGCAGGCGGCGAGAGGACGCTGCAGCGGAACGTTTGCACTTTCATCACATGCTCCTTTAGAGACCTGTCAATCAGCGTGTAACCCCGCCCTAAAGCCTCCCCTGCTTTATGGTCCCCGTCCGTCTGCTCCGGTGTGTTTGGCGTACCTGGCTGCCGGACCGCGGTGGCGCCCACGAAGCTGATGAGCGTGACGTCGGAGGCGCCGCCGGACTCCAGGGGGATCGGGTGCACCCGGAAGTGCTCCAACATGTCGAAGATGGACTGGAACCAGAGGTGCTGCACTCGGCACTGGCCGTCCTCGTTCAGGGACAGACGCAAGTGCTGCAGGGAAACACAAGAATAGTTCATGACTCCTTCTGATTAGCTCCCGCGCTAAAGCATCCCCCGCTTCATGGTCCGCTTGACTCTAAATGGACCACCATTTACTACATTACATGTCATTGAGCTTTTGTCCAAAGCGACTTTCACTAGGTGCATTTCAACCACGAGGACACAAACTCAGAAGAACAAAAAACAAGAAAGTGCAATTTCAATAAATAAGCCGATTTACAACTTGCTGTAGATAAGAACCATTAAAAGTACAATTTAAGTGCTACAGTTTGTTAGTGTAGTCAAGGCACTAAATCAACATCATGCTGTATTTAAGACTTGAAAGTAGAGATTGAGACCATAAACTCATGTTTACTGAGGGAATAAATCAAGAGTAAAAAAGTCATTTCCTCATAGACATCTATGGGAGCAGAGGAGTCGCCCCCTGCTGGTCACTACAGAGAAGTAGAGTCATTTCCTCATAGACGTCTATGGGAGCAGAGGAGTCGCCCCCTGCTGGTCACTACAGAGAAGTAGAGTCATTTCCTCATAGACGTCTATGGGAGCAGAGGAGTCGCCCCCTGCTGGTCACTACAGAGAAGTAGAGTCATTTCCTCATAGACGTCTATGGGAGCAGAGGAGTCGCCCCCTGCTGGTCACTGCAGAGAAGTAGAGTCATTTCCTCATAGACGTCTATGGGAGCAGAGGAGTCGCCCCCTGCTGGTCACTACAGAGAAGTAGAGTCATTTCCTCATAGACGTCTATGGGAGCAGAGGAGTCGCCCCCTGCTGGTCACTACAGAGAAGTAGAGTCATTTCCTCATAGACGTCTATGGGAGCAGAGGAGTCGCCCCCTGCTGGTCACTACAGAGAAGTAGAGTCATTTCCTCATAGACGTCTATGGGAGCAGAGGAGTCGCCCCCTGCTGGTCACTACAGAGAAGTAGAGTCATTTCCTCATAGACGTCTATGGGAGCAGAGGAGTCGCCCCCTGCTGGTCACTACAGAGAAGTAGAGTCATTTCCTCATAGACATCTATGGGAGCAGAGGAGTCGCCCCCTGCTGGTCACTACAGAGGATGCAGCTCTATTAAAGCTTTGACTTCACGTGGGTTGTCCCCTGAACTAAACTGGACATGCTTCTTTCTTTGCGTGTTCACCTTGGCCTTTCCCTGGAAGTTGAAGGTGAGGACGTATTCTCCGCGTCGCGTCTCGCTCTGGCGAACCAGGAAGACGCCGTGGCTCGCCGGGCCGCCGGCCAACACCAGCTGGGCGGCTTTGAGACGGGACAGAGTGCCGTGGAACCACTGGCACTCGCTGAGCGGGTGTTCCACCGCCTCGGCGGGGGCCACATCCAAGAACAGGAAGGAGCCTGGATGAAGACCATCAGCACGTGTTGGTACTTCAGAGATGGAACGTGGAGCTTGTTCATCACGGTATAAGCGTCTAGTGTCTGATCACGTGAAGTCATTAATCAGTCAACAGCTGACCGCTACCGGCTGACCAACAGCTCACGTCAGTTACAGTATGATGCCTTCAGGCTCTGCTCAGTGAACAGGAGAACATTGAACGTTATCCTGATGTGTTCAAGTGTCTATAGAATGAACCTGAACGTATCCAGATGTTTTCACATTCATATTAAATTGATATTGGAGATGAATAATGATCTGTTTAACTTCCTAAAATGAGCTCTTAGCATATTATTATACAGCATTAAACATAATGATAGAAATACAATATTTCATTTATCTTGAATTTTTCATGAAAGAAGAAAATCACTAAATTACAGAAACACAGTAAAAATACATATATTTGATAATGTTTGACTGAATGCTTGTAGACCAGCTGCTGTAATCAATCAATAATCACCCGTGGCGTCTGGCGTCTCAGCAAAAGGCGTCCCAAGGCCGGCTCCGCCTCCACCGAGGATCCGGCCGTCTGGTTCGTCGAGAGGCGCTCGAGGTGGCAGCTCCGGTGGGAGGGGATCCATCAGAGGGGAGGAGCCTCCGTAACACACTGCAACAACAACAACAACAGGAGGTGGACGAGGTGAAACGTTACGGCGAGTCCAACTCTGTGTACTAGTACACAGGCTGTGTAGAAGTACACAGGCTGTGTAGAAGTACGGCACACGGCCAAACACCTGGCAATGAGAACTCAACAGGGAAATCCTAGTTTTACCTTGTGAGAGACGGTCAACAATATCTGGCGTCCCGCTGATGTCCAGCGGCCCCATGGAGACTCCTTCAGCGTCCTCCTGTTCACTGGGGGGGGGGGGGGGGGTTAGTTAGTCCAGGAGGCCTCTCACACACACACACACACACACACACACACACACACACACACACACACACACACACACACACACACACACACACACACACACACAGTTGGTTCCCTCGCTGATCACCTGAGACAGATGCCGTTCCGGATGTCGCTCAGCCAGGCTCTCATCTGAACGGCGTCGCGAGTCTCGATGACGTACTGAGCCGTGCCCTCCAGCTGGGGGGGGGGGGGGGGGGGGGGGGGAACCGTCAGTTCTTTCAGTTCTCGGAGGTATTTGGTGACGTTGAAGTACTCACAGGTACTTTTTGAAGGTCTTTAACTTCGGTCATTGTACTTTATAATACAGGTAGATGAAATCCAGCGTTCTGATTGGTTGAGAGTCACGGGGTGTTTAATTATGTTTCATAATGAGGTACGTTAATATATTTGATGTTTATACGACAGACTTTTAACGGTTGTATTGATACAGATAATGATCCATAATCAGCTTCACCAGAATAGAACGGGAGGGGAGAGGGGAGGAGGAGCAGCAGGAGGAGAGGAGGAGCAGCAGGAGGAGGGGAGGAGCAGCAGGAGGGGAGGGGAGGAGCAGCAGGAGGAGGCGGGAGGGAAGGAGCGGCAGGAGGAGAGGAGGAGCCTGCAGGAGGGGAGGGGAGGAGCAGCAGTTACCTGCATTAGGAAGGTGTTCTCCTTGTCGGGGACCTCCTGCGCCGTGGTGCTCCTCACGTCCACCATGGAGCAGCAGGGGACGGTCAGCCGAGGCTTCGACGACTGGAGGAGAGAAAACGCCACATCAATAAATAAATAAACAAACAATAAGGTGCGAGAGGCTGGACTCCAACTGTTACATTGAAGATAAAGCCTCACGTACCTCTTTCATAATACGGTTACCAGCTAAATTATGAATAGTAATTAAATAGTTGCAGTATTTCATTTCAGTATTCTAGAGGAAAATAGTCCCGTACGTGCACGTAAACAGCATCGGGTCTCTGACATCATTCATTCACATCGCTCATGACGTCCACCTGAATTGTCCGGTTGCGAAAGATCGTATTCCCCCTAAACTGATCAAACTGATCAAACCGATCAAACGTGGGATTCACCGTCTCTTTTCGGCGATCACCACCGAGCTGAAAGCTGGAATGTCAAACTAATTTACTAAAAATTCAAACCGTCGACTGGAATGAAAAGAAATGAAACAAAACACAAAACTAAAACGATAATAAACGAGCACGAGGTCAACGCGAGTCCTTCTGCTGCTTCCTCACTACAGAAACAACACAGATTCATTATATTGAAGCACATTTTCCTCCACAAATTAAATACATTGTTCATGATGTTTATAGAATTATATTATGTAATATTAAAATGACAAAGGACTGTTTTTAAGTCCCCTCTGACAGCAGGTTAGAGCTTTAAAGCAAAAGATAAAGAAAAAAGATATACATGTGTATCAAGTCACTTTCTGTTCATAAAATCATCCAGAATATGGAAATGATAAACAAGCGTCTCACAGACAACGATGACGTTTCACACAGCATTTTATTCTTTATTAATCTCTGATTGATTTGCTTTAATCAGGTTCCTTAAACATTGAGTTGGGAGCGCCTCAGTGAAACTATGACATCATGGAGCCATATGACACCCTCGGTCATGTGACCAGAAATCAGAGAACCTGTGAGCGAACAGTGTAATCAGTTTAATATTTAAAGCACGTAGAGACTCCATTATTATTTGAGATTTGTGGCACCAAATGTCGGCTTATTCATAGTTTTCCAAAATATTGTGGATTTATAAAAAGACATCCAGCTTGTGTCCATCCATTTTTAAATGATTGTTATTCTGCACTAAAGACGTGATTGTTTCCCATGAAGAGGAGCTTTTATCGCATGAAGCAGCTGTTTAAACACGTCTCCGGTTCAGCTTCACTTACTTTGGGTGGAATGAAGAACTCCAGGTAGTACTCCTCCCCTCTCTCTCCCCCCTCCCGGTCTCTCTCCTTGAGGACCAGGCGACACTTGTGCCAGCGCCCCCCCCTCCAGGGGACGCTCCCCCCGCCGGCCAGCGGCTGCACCGGCCCGCCCAGCCCCGCCGAGGAGGTGCTGCTGTTGCTGTCCGCCCCGTGGTGCAGGAGCCCGAAGGAGAAGCCGGAGAAGCCGTGGCTTCCCGTGAACTCGTCGGTGGACGAGCTGACGCTCACCCCCCCCTCCCTCACCAGCCGGCCCACCTTCCTCAGGGGTCCCGCAACGCAGGCGGCGGCACTGCTGGGCGGCAGCGTGGAGGAATGAGGCCCGCCAGCGGTCGGGGTGAGAGCGGGGGGGGGGGATCGAGACAGCCGGAGCTTCTCCAGTCGGTGGCTCCACTTCTCCTTCTCGCCGCCCTCGCCGTTGCTCCGCCGGCGGTCCCGGGCGGCCTCCGAGAGGGAGAGGGAGGTGGCGCTGCTGGAGGACCAAGGCGGCAACGAAGAAGACGACGAGTGCGGTAGTGAGAGGCGCATGGACATGGACACGGACAAGAAAGACAAAGTGTGCATTGCGTGCTGAATCGCATAGTATTCTCATGGGGGCGGAGACCATGGCGGCGTCCTGCACGCCCATAGTGTAGCTGTAGCTTGAGGGCAGCGGGCTCTGGCCGGAGTCGCTGGATGAGCTGCGCCAGTGCAGGATGCCGCGCACGCTGCCGCGCACGCTGCGCCCCACGCTGCGCAGGGAGAAGCGCTTCTTCAGCTTGTTCTTGGAGGAGTTGGGCGTCCCGTTGCCCTTGGCGTCCGGGGGGGGGGAGGAGGAGGAGTGAGGAATCTGGGAGGTGTAGGCAGGGTCATCAACCTCGGCAAACTCCTGTTCCTGCTCGGCGTCCTCGCCGACGGACGCCACGCCCAACCAGCTGTCCTCCTCCTCCTCCACTGGCGCTTCACCGTTGCCGGCGGTGACCGCGGCGCTCCTCTCCTCGCGCCTTCCGTTGTTCCCCCCCACCGAGGAGCAACACGACGAGGAAGAGGACGGGGGCAGGACTTGGCCGTGGGCGTAGGAGTCCTGAAAACTGTCCCCGCAGCGGTTCTCCAACACCAACCGCGTGGGCGCCAGTTTTAATGGCGCCCGAGCAGCAGCGGTCTGGGGGCACGAGAGGACGGCGCCTCCAGACGCCAGCAACGGCAAGACCGCCTCCTCTTCCAGGGAGGTGGCGTCCGGCTGGGGAGCCCAGCTTGCCATGTCGTCCCTGGCGGAGGCGCAGCTGGCCGGCAGCGCCCCCTCCAGCTCGCTCTGGAAGTGACGGACGAAGCGGTCAGTGAAGCGGCGGCAGAAGGCGACGGCCGAGTCGGGGGAGTAGTGGGGGTTCTCCAGGAGGAAGGCCCGGAAGTGGCGCGCAAAGTCTCCGGCGGCCACGCGGGCGTGGAGCTCGCAAAACTCGGTCCAGCTCAAGCAGGGCGAGGGGGGACGGCGTGGGGGTGTCGGAGAGGAGGACGGGTGGGCCTGCAGGGGGGGACTCATTAGAGGGGGTAGTGGCGGGGGGCGGGGGGACAGGGGCAGCATGGAGGGAGAGGGCGGGGACGGGGACGGGGAGGGGGGCAAGGGAGAGGAGCTGGCCGCTCGTGGGCTGGGCGGGGTCAAGAGAGAGCCGTTCATCCCGAGGGACTCGATTGGTGGATCAGATCACTTCAAACAGATGACAGCTGGGAGGGAGGGAGGGGGAGAGGGGGGGGCCAACACAGCACATCAGTCTAACAATTGACATACGGGTACGAAGTGAAGCGTGCGCTCGGCCCCATCGACAGCGGACACTTGAAATGCACCGAACCCAGAGAATGGGGAGAGTGGGGGGGCGTCACAGGGCTACATTATTTGGTGATTTCTGAAACTCTTCCACAGTGGGACGGGGTTTGAGATTCACAAGGTCTGTTCCGTCTTCACCGAGTGTCGGACATCCAGAGGGACGTGGCCACATCCTGTAAAACAAACAACAACAAAGGAACAAATCAACCAAAGGTTCCCATGTAAGAGATAACAACAGGACTTCAGGACATTATTATACAACAGGAAGACGGCAACAGTTTATCCAGCCAATCAAACTTCACGGGACCAAAATCCAGTGAAAAAAAGTTTCTCTTAAAAAGCTTCACCACGGATTCACTTACATAATATACCTGCATTCATTTTATTTACATTACAAAAAGGGTTTGTATCCACAGCTGTACGTTTCACTTCACATTAATTATAATACATGCATAATATAATCAATATAAATGTTTATGACAATACTGTTTAATTTTGTTGTTGTTGATTACTATTCATATTTAATATATGTTCATGTACCAGTGTAATAATATGTTAATGTATTCGTACTATTAATTAACCACTGATTAGTTAATGTTAATGTATTAGTAGTAATGTAACTAATATGTCAGTATGTTTACGTACTAATGGTATATACGTAATCATGTTAATGTATTTGTTGGGGATGATTGATATATCTTATAACTTACATATGTTGTAACTGACTTGTAATCCTATATTTACATCATGTTTGACTGATGACAGTGTTCTAATAGGACTTGTACTGCAGTAACCCAGTTGCATACCGCTTCCACCTCGCCCCGGGCAGATTAATGCTCGCTAACTACTAGCATTTAGCCCTAATAATCACATCCTCACTCGTTAGCTTGCTAACACGAACTAGCAGCGCGTGAGTCCTGCTCATTCAGCTCTCTTTAAAATACGCGTAACGTCGGCTAACTAAGCTAACAATAGCTAACTAACGGCGGCTCGCTCGCCTCCACCTGCTTAGAACCTCTGCGCCGTGGCGGTGATTCCAGGTGTACACCATCATGTTGTGACGCCTCCTGTAACCTGTCGCCACACACCGAATAATCCGACAAGCAAGTGATTGCCAAAGATTCTTCGCCAGCTAAGCTACCCGTTAGCCAGCCAGAGTTAGCTATTAATAAACCAGCAAGCTAGCTAGCTATCAATACTGCTCCACCGCCAGTGTTGCGTGTATTTTCGCTACCTGCATATCACAGTCCGGTGTTTTCGTCCGTTACCGCGCGGGGAAACCTGGCGCACGTTTCGTCATTCTTTCAGTGTGCGGAACAGAATTATCATTTTTCGCAAAAAAGGGTCGTTGTTGTTGCTAAATAGGAATATTGCTATTTGCCTTGCCTGGAGCCCGTTCTTCTCGCTCGCTGCCTCGAACTCTCGCGATACTTCGCTGGTGGGTCGCTGGCTGACAGCTGCGGTTCAAAAAGGAAGGAGAGAGAAAGAGCCGCTCGGTCTTAACGGATGACTCGTTTCCCCGAATCAAAGCAACTGACGGTAAACCGGAAGACAGAGGAAACCGGGAAGGAGTAGTTATCACCCGTTTGTAAACAGATTCATGAATCAACGTACTACACCGTGCAAATACGAAGTATAAATACAACACATAATTAAAACACTCTGAAAAGGAGTACTAATATCACAGTATTTAAGTACTCTGATACACTCAGCAATAAATGCTTTACTTTTAATTCCTACTAAGGTCAAAAGTTTCTCGATTGAGAAAGCGTGTCCAAACGTTTGACTTATCTGTCAAATTACGTAGGAGGAGAAATCTCAGATTGTACTTTTAGTAAATATATTCAGTCGCATTCCACTACCACTGTTTTTTCAACTCAAAATGATAATATACCCAAATGATAAAAAAAACCCAACAACGCTGATTTTAAAAAGGTTTATTTACACTTCAATAATTAAACGTTAATTCTACTGCACAGTTATTTTTAGATATTGTTATTTACCTGGACAAATACAAATATTTGAAAAAATGACCGAGAGAGACCTGCTCTCTTGAGTTCATACCTCAACATTTATACTCTCACTGGCTACACGCTGCTTTACGTTCTCACTCCTGGTTTTCCCCTCAGGTCAGGTCTCCTCAGGTCTCCTCAGGCCTCCTCAGGTCCTCAAGTTCCAGACCCGCCGCCGTCCGTCGGGCAGCGAGCCGCCGTCCTCTGCCCGCGGAGGACTCCCGTGCAGATGAGTGTGAACCAGTAGAGCTGCAGGGGCCACAGCAGAGCGGCCCCCAGGTTACACTGCCACGGGGCCAGCAAGGGCACCAGGTGCAGCGGGACAGAGGCGTAGCTGTGGAGACGACGACAACAACAACAACAACAGAGGGTCACGGCGCTTTGCTTTTTCCTCCTTTCCAAACAACATGAAAACATTGAGAGAGCAAAGCTGACACATGGAGACAAGTACTAATACCACTGTGCAAGTACTTTATTACAGTAAAGGTACTTCTACTATAATACCTACTATAATAAGAAGTACAGGTAGTACAGGTACTAATACCAGGTGTATAAATACTGGTACCGGCTGTAGGAGTAGTTCAGGTACTAATACCAGGTGTATAAATACTGGTACCAGCTGTAGGAGTAGCAAAGGTACTAATACCAGGTGTATAAATACTGGTACCGGGTGTAGGAGTAGCACAGGTACTAATACCAGGTGTATAAATACTGGTACCGGCTGTAGGAGTAGCACAGGTACTAATACCAGGTGTATAAATACTGGTACCGGCTGTAGGAGTAGTACAGGTACTAATACCAGGTGTATAAATACTGGTACCGGCTGTAGGAGTAGCACAGGTACTAATACCAGGTGTATAAATACTGGTACCGGCTGTAGGAGTAGTACAGGTACTAATACCAGGTGTATAAATACTGGTACCGGCTGTAGGAGTAGTACAGGTACTAATACCAGGTGTATAAATACTGGTACCGGCTGTAGGAGTAGTACAGGTACTAATACCAGGTGTATAAATACTGGTACCGGCTGTAGGAGTAGTACAGGTACGGGAGGAGCAGCACGCGGCAGAAGAAGAAGAGCAGCAGCATCAGGACGCCGTTGACTTTGTGCAGCAGAGTGTGTTGCTTCTTAAACTGAACACAGAAGGAGGACGAGACGCAGTGAGTGAAACTATAAATGTGGATTTCATTGATCTTCAGTGGAAATCACGTCTCACCTGAATGAGAACTTTGGTCAGACAGACACATGGAGTGCTGAGCTCAGTCAGGAAGAGGACACCCTGGAAGTAGTCCCCTCGGCCCCCCCTCCACAGCTGCACACACACACACCCTTTATTATTCTACACTGCATTATACGTGATGAACGACACGATACTTAATAAAAAGAATATTACTCATTTTAATAATCAAATATGAATATTAATCCCAACAGACAGAGATAATAATACAGAATATAATCACAGCAATTATTGCAGAATCAATACATTTAACAAGATATTAATAATGAGGCTGATCCACTGTGGCGGTACTACACGTCAGACGTTAGAATACAAACAATATGCTGAGGATCCACCTAGCGCCGTGCTGACCCTGGCGCGAGGGCAAAGGTCAGGTGTTGCCATAGTTACCAGTGATACAGGGAAGCAGAAGGCCACCATGAAGACGTGGTGCAGCACCATGAGCTTCTCCCTGCGCAGGTAACCTGCCACGGCGGCTCGCTTTGACCCGACCACGCCCCCCGCCTGCCCCTCCTCGTGACCTTTGACCTGCAACCTGTGCCAGTAGCACAGGAACATGGCGTAGATGTCGTAAGCGAAGTAGGGCGTGGCAAACAGGATGTAAGCGTCGGTCAGCCAATGTCTGAGCAGGAAACAGATGACATGACATGATTGATCAGCTCTGGTGGTCGACGGATCTCAGATACTTGAATCACTTCCTGTTTGAACTGAAGCGTTACGGCTGTTTAGTCGCTCCAGAGGTCTTTCGTGTGGTGGTCGTGTCGCCCCCTGTGGACTGAAGTGGTAGTGGCTCGTTCTCCTGCAGGCTCACAGGGGACACCCTCAGTCCAGGTTCTCCTGGGCCTCCCTCCCCTCCAGCGGGTCCAGCACCGTAGTGCTAGGGGAGGGGAGGGGGAGGAGGAGGCGCTGAGCTCTCCTCCTCCCTCCGGAGCTCCATCTATAATATATTGTTTAACAGTATAAGACGTTCTGACGAATCTCCACCTGGACTGAAACGGATTTGTTTCCGGACAAGTATCAGCTGACCTTAAACATTCTGTGAAGCAGCAGCCTCTCCCAGAATGCATTGTGGCACGAATGCGTTGTGGGATTTGATAAACAAATGCAGCCTGGACGCACCTCCACTTTGACTGGGAAATAAAGGAGAGCGGCTCCTTTATTCCTCCGTCCCGCCGTCCTCAGCGAGCAGGATTATTCTGTCAGCGACTTACAGCCGTAAATAGCTGTGACTGTTAATTGGTGGCTAATTTGTTCAGGTTGAGGTTTGTTCACACATTCGTTTTCTTCTTAATGGGTTTTACTATAAACAGTAATAACCTGTTTAGTATTCAACTCTTATATTTTAAAGGTTTTAATGATATTAAGTTCTATATATATTTCCCTTGCCATGTTTTATGCCCATTATTGATTTGTATAATTATTTTTACTAATAATTTTAATGTTGGAGCTACCGGAGAGGACAGCGGTTCCCTGGAGCCAGAAGGTTCATCCTCTGAGGACCATGAACACGTCGTCCTGATCCATAATACATCACACGGAGCAGTGCAGCGTTTGTTTTGGGACTATTTCCAGCTGCGGATGAATCCACATGTGGGGCCTTGGAGTAAAAAGTCTCACCTGTCCTCCAAGACGTCCCGGCAGGACGAGACGATCACACATCCAGCTGAGGACGCCATGACGGCCTGGAGGGACGACACGACGCTGAAGAGACAGAAACAATGGGTTCTTCATCACCTCAGTGTGGCATTAGTACTCTAACAGAGTATCCGCTCAGTGTGGCATTAGTACTCTAACAGAGTATCCGCTCAGTGTGGCATTAGTACTCTAACAGAGTATCCGCTCAGTGTGGCATTAGTACTCTAACAGAGTATCCGCTCAGTGTGGCATTAGTACTCTAACAGAGTATCCGCTCAGTGTGGTATTAGTACTTTAACAGTATCCGCTCAGTGTGGTATTAGTACTTTAACAGAGTATCCGCTCAGTGTGGTATTAGTACTATAACAGAGTATCCGCTCAGTGTGGTATTAGTACTTTAACAGAGTATCCGCTCAGTGTGGTATTAGTACTTTAACAGAGTATCCGCTCAGTGTGGTATTAGTACTTTAACAGTATCCGCTCAGTGTGGCATTAGTACTATAACAGAGTATCCGCTCAGTGTGGCATTAGTACTC